TTCCTAATAAGTTGGCCCCCATACAGCACCAGTGCTGCTGGTCTGGGGAATCCCACTGAAAGAACCATTAAAGAATGAATAGAGATGGGGTGGGGCAACATTCCAGAGATGGTGAGTGGGGGGCTGCCCGTCACTCCCACTCGCACTTACACAAGCAAAGTGGGAGGTAAGCTGGGAAAGGAGGACCTCAGAAGCTTGATGAGTTGTAGAGAAGGGTCACATTCAGAATGGCAGAAGCCTACAGGGACAGAGAGGTAGACTGGATGTGTTCTTCCCGCAGAGACACCTCACCCATTAAACCAGGAGAAATAGTCTTCACTTCCAGAAACATGTGCTTTGTTAATTCTCACAATATGCTGCCCTTTTTGTCTATTTTTGGTGCCTTCCTTTCTGATAAAGACCTAGTTACAGGAAATGCTTCCCGCTTCTCTGAACAGTGTAGACCAGTGATAAACAGCAGCTGACACTTGGCCTCTGTGTGGAGCAGAGGGGTGGGGTGAAGAGTCAGCGCTCATGCCTGGTCACCAGAGGGACCAGAGGGACGCTGCTATGGCTGCCGTTGTTGCCACTGGGAAACCTGGGGGTGGGGTGAAGGGGGCAGGCTAGATTGCGTGTGTGAAACATCACAGCTTTAACGTTGCTTTTGTGAAGTACCCTCTAGTCAATTCTAACTCTTGTTGTTGTTGTTGTTGTTGTTGTTGTTGTGTTTGAGTCTTAGCAACCCTGTATACCACAGCGTAGAATCCTTCCTGGTCAGCCTCCACCCTCCCAATCTGTTGTGTTTATGCCCCTCACTGCATCAGCCCGTCTCATTGAGGCTCTTTCTCTCCTTTTGGGTCCTGCCACTTTTCCAAGCATGATGTCTTTCCCCAGAGATTGGCAGTCCTCCTGACAATATGCCCAAAGCTAATCAAAAGGTTACCTTATTTGGGAAAGGGCACAGATAAGAATGTCTCCAGTCAGTTGGCCTGGCAGCTATCTTCCAGATTGCTTGGCATAGACAGATGAGCACATCTAGGGCTGTTTCTGTTTGTTGAAATACCTCATGGATGCTCTGTCAATACCCAGTCAGTCCTGAACCTCTTTTTTTACCAGTGCCTTCAGTGCAGCCTGGACTTCTTTCTTTACTACCACTGACTGGTTCTTCATCATATGCTGCTTCCTGAAGTAGTTTAATGTCGACAAATTTTTATTTTATTTTATTTTATTATTTTTGTGTGCGTGTACCATCAAATCAGATCTGACTGGTACAGGAGGAGAATGGCCCTCCTTCCCCGGCAGAGCATCTGGTGGATTCGAACCGTGCACCTCTGGGATTGTAGTTGCAGCTTCTTGCCACTAGGCCACCAGAGCTCTCTGACAAATTATTTTTGATATGGTGACTCTGAGTATTCTTTTGATGCTTCTTTCAAAATTCATTCAATATTTTGCCTATACCGTCTTTCAGTATTGCAACTCAATGCTTGAATTTTCACCTCAATTCTTTCAGCTTTAAGAAATGTCACGTTTGTCTCTTGTGTTTTTCTAACTCCGTGTCTTTGCCTATTTCATTATAATGCTTGCGTTGTCTTCTTGAGGTGCCCTTTGAAATCTTTTGTTTAGCTCTCTCTTAATTCATCATTTCTTCCTTTTATTTTAGCATCTCTACTTCCTAGAGCAAGTTTCAGAAGTCCTTCTTACATCCATTTGGGTCTTTTCTTCTTTCCTGTATTTTTTATGTCTTTTTGCTTTCTTCACATGTGATGCCCTTGATGTAATCTCACAATGTGTCTGATTGTAATTCCTTTGTGTTCAGTATCTAAAATCTGTTCTTCAGATGATTTTTTAAATTCAGGTGAGATAAGCTCAGTCATATCTTGGCTTTCTTGGATTTGTTTTCATTTTCTTCAGCTTCATATAAGCAACTGGCAATCATATCCACACTCACTATTTATTCTTTTTAAAGAGTATCTGCACTGAGTAAGTCTTTAGTTGTACACAATCCTATCATGTAATCTCTAGTTTGATTTCTGTCACCAAGATGTATTTTCTAGAGTCTTGTTTCCAGCTTTTCCATTATGATCACCAATTGTTATTAATGCATCTTGATTGCATGTTCAATCAATTTCAGGCTACAGAATTTGGTGGAAACCTTAGTTTCTTCACCTTTGATTTTAGTGGTTGGAGTGTAACTTTGAATAATAGTCATATTAACAGGTCTTCCTAGTATGCATATGGGTATTATCCTGTCACTGACAGCATTGTACTTATAGGATAGCCCTTGGAATGTTCTTTTTGACAAGTGTGACACTATTCCCCTTAAATTTGTCCTTGTCCACATTGTTGTTATGTGCCATCAAGTCACCTGCAGCTCATAATGACCCTGTGTGCAACAGCTCTAAACCCTGCTCTATCCTGAGCCAATCTCACTGTCTCTGACAAACCTACTCCCATTACCCCAGTTACTTTGTCAATCCATCTCATCCAAGGTCTTCCTCTCCTGTGCTGTCCCTCCACCCTTCCAAGCATTATGTCCTTCTGTAAGGACTGGTCCGTCCTGCCACATGCACAAAATGTGTGAGACAGAGCTTCAACATCCTTACCTCCAAAGAATAGCTTGGTTTCACTCTCTTCAAAACAGATCTGTTTGTTCTCTTGGCTGTCCATGATGTGTTCAATACTCTTCTTCTGCACTACAACTCAAAGGCATCGATTCTTCTTCTGTCATCCTTAGTTATTATCCAACTCTCTGATGCAAGTGGAGCCGAGCAAACTAAAATTATAGTAGACCATGTATTTGTACAGTCCATTTGTCCCAATCTATTTCAACTCACTATGCCTAGGATCTGATCTTCATGTGTTCCATTTCATTTTTTTTACAACAGCTAGTATCCCTCGATTCATACTTCATTCCATGTTCCAATTATTAATGAATATTTTTTGTAATGTCTCTTTATTTTGAATAATGCCACATCAACAAATGGCTGTCCCTCATTGGATGAAAGCTTCATTCCATCCACATCATTAAGGTCAACTCAACTTTAAGGAGGCCTCTTCCCCAGTCATGTTTTGAGTACCTTCCAACCTGAGGATCCCATGGTGTCTCTCTGGAGACTAAGGTGTGTCTGATACAGGCCATGGTCTTTGCTATCACTTGTTATGCATCAGAGAGTTGGACAATGACTAGGGAGGATAGAAGGAGAACTGATGCCTTTGAGCTGTGGTGCTGGAGAAGAGTATTGAGGGTACCATGGACTGCTAGGAAAACAAACAGATTCATCCTGGAGAGGGTTAAACCAGGCTGCTCTCTGGAGGCAAGGATTCTGAGGCTCCGTCTAACATACTTTGGACATGTTGTAAGGAGGGACCAGTCCCTTAAGAGGGACATCATGCTTGGGAGAGTGGAGGGACAGCGCAGGAGAGAAGGCCCTCTATGATGTTGATTGATTAAGTGACTGGGGTAATCAGGATGGGAGTGTCAGAGACAGAGAATTTAGGGCTGTTATACATAGAATCACTATGAGTCACAAGTGACTTGACGGCACATAACAACAACAACATACTGGACAATGTTTTACTATTCATACTATTATTAATAACTTTAAAATAATGAATCCTAATCGACAACACATACAAATAACAACAATACGTAAGTATCTCCAGCATTGTGAGTGCACAGTTCACCTGCACAAAGCCAACTCAGCCAGTGAGGGGCTCAGCCAGGCCTGATTTTATGTGGAGTTTCATTCCACTGTGTCAGGAGTAGATAAGGGAGTGAGAAGATGAAGACTGGGAAGCCTTTAAGGAAACTCCTGCTCGTCTTGGCTAGAGAGATTGTGTGCATATACTCTGATGATAGTAGAAGAGTTGCAGATCTCAGTGGAGGTGTAACTGTGGGGAGGACGGAGAGTCAGAGGTTTAAGGAGGACCCACATCTTCCTAGCTTTTGTAATTAGGTGTGTCTCGGTACCATTAACTGAGATAGTAAACACAGAAGGAGACCTTTTCAGGGACACCGGGGGACAAGAGGAGTTTAGGTACCTGTGAGTCAGCCACAGGTCTAGGGTCAGAGGAGAGACTAAGACCAGTTTTATTAATGCATTGCCGCAAATGATGGCAAAATGTGTTTCTAAGCACGGTTGTCAATTTAAAAGTGTGTGGCAACGTGTTAAAACATAAATCTGGTTCTATTATTGTCCACCTTCGTTCTTCCTCATCGTTTCCTGTTGTCTGAAACATAAAGTTCAGGCCCTTCCTCCTGGTAAACGAAGCCCTTCACAATCTACCCCTGCTGCGTTCCCTGCACCATGTCCCAATACAAAACCCCACGCTCAGGGTCTGCTGAACAGCTTGACCATCCTATACAGGCCGTGCCTTTGTTCTTGTTTTTTCTTGTATCTGTGATGACCTTCTACCCCAGCCCTTGATGTGTCTGGAAAATGTCTACTCCTTTCGAGACTCACCTGTCGGCTCCATAGCCCGCACGGACTTTCCCAAGCTGGAGAGATCACTCCCTTCATGATGCCATCCCTGAACTCAGTGTATACTCTGCCCCCACCCCATCCCTGCAGGGATGTACTTGCCTGTCTGCAAGCTCCTGGAAAGCAAAGATTATCGTTTCCTTAACTTTTTATCACTGGTTCTTAACATCTGTCTAGCATATAGTGGCTGTTGTGTGCCATCAAGTTGAACTAACTATGACTGACCCTCCAGCATGTTATCAGAGGCTGTAAATCTCAGGGGAGGGGATTGCCCATCTTTCTCCCATGGAGAAGCTAGTTGATTCAAACTGTGTGCCTTTGGGCTGACAGCGCAGCTCATTACCACAAAGCCACCAGAGTTCCCTCAGCATATTGTAGACCCTGATTAAATGTTTACAGTATGAGTAGGTTCCCCTTCTCTGAGATCTGGGGAAACTGTTTCTCATTTCCCAAGGGATTGCCCTGTTCCATCTCTCCTAACACCTAAAGAGCAGCCGGAGGCCCCTGAATGCTGACCTCCCCTTTCTCCTTCCTTTGCAGCTGGGGTATGGCTGTCAATGTGTACTCCACATCTGTGACCAGTGAAAATCTGAGTCGTCATGATATGCTTGCATGGGTTAATGACTCCCTGCACCTCAACTACACCAAGATAGAACAGCTCTGTTCAGGTAGGAAGGGGGAGGTAAGGAGTGGGCTCCCCCAAAGGGAAGGAGGGAAGGAAAGAATGTAACCAAGGCCAAGAAGGAAAGTGGCAAGACACAAACTAGTCTGTTTGGAGTTGAAGTTAAAAAAGGAGAGTCTCCAGAAATAGAAGCAGTAAAGATTGAAGAGCAGGAAAAACACAATGAGGGTTTCAGGAGGGGAGGAGGAGAAGGGATCCCAAGCCAGGAAGGGAGGTGAAGAAGGAAGTTAAAGGCACAAGAGCCAGATCCAAATCTCATTTCTTCTTGTAGTTTAACCCTGGACAACTCATTATGCCCCTGTGGGCCTGTTTTTCCATCTATAAAATGGAATTAGCCACCTGTCTAACTAGGGCTGCAGTTAGGATTAAATGAAATTACATACGTGAAGTGTTTAGTGAGGTGCTGGTAAATAATATGCACCAATAAATAGTAATTAGTCTTATGCTGAGAAAGTTGAGCCTGTCCTCAAAGTAAGACTGGCCCTGCCCCAGGACAAAGAGGGAGGAGAGGCTGGAATAGGCCAGCGGCCCAGACGCACTGAGTCAGACACACTGATCTGCAGGAGCTGCCTACTGCCAGTTCATGGACATGCTTTTCCCTGGCTGTGTGCACTTGAGGAAGGTGAAGTTCCAGGCTAAGCTCGAGCATGAATACATCCACAACTTCAAGGTGCTACAAGCAGCTTTCAAGAGGATGGGTGTTGACAAAGTAGGTGCCCACGCTCGGGGTGGGATGGGGGTGTGCCCTGAGGAGCTGTGTACCCTGGGGAAGAAGATGACAGCCCACCCACCAGCAGGGGCTTGGGGGCCATTGGATGTTCCAGCCCTCATCCCTCAGTCTACCCCGGACTGTCCAGAAGGAATGTCCTCCTCGCCTCAAGGGACAGTGCAAAACCCCATAACACTTTGCATCCATCCTAATGCCATTCTTTACACTTCCTCATCTCTGGAACCCACTCACCAGAAATTAAGACTCTGTATAGTGTTCCTCCTAAGTTGTAGCTCTCTCTAGGTCCCAAGAAAACTCTGTTGGCTCTTTTTGCTGCCTCAGTGTCTCCAGGACCCTGGGTTCCAGCACTCACTCCCTCATATGCAGGCCACAGAACCAAAGGACACCTCTTCACACAGTTCTTTCTGTGCCTATAGGAAAGGACTGTCTCTGGATGCCAGGCCTGGGCATGCCAGCCCACCCATCTACTCTGGTGCTACGGGTGGTGGGGCAGGAGGGGGAGGGGAGAGTTCTTGGTGGAAGCTGCTGCCTTTCCCGGAGCCATGGTCCTGGTATAGAGGAAGGCAGCCCTGCAACTGCAGGAAGTTAAAATTCTCTGCTTGTGTGGTCTGTTTCAGATAATTCCTGTAGAGAAATTAGTAAAAGGAAAATTCCAAGATAATTTTGAGTTTATTCAGTGGTTTAAGAAATTCTTTGACGCAAACTATGATGGAAAGGATTACAACCCTCTGCTGGCGCGGCAGGGCCAGGAAGTAGCACCGCCTCCTAACCCAGGTGATCAGATCTTCAACAAATCCAAGAAACTCATTGGCACAGCAGGTAATGTGCCCAAGCCTGGGGAGGGAGTGAGGGGGCCAGGCCTGCAGGCTCTACAGCGAGGAGTGCCCCCAGGCCACTCAGCCCGGCCCTGCCAGTCTGGAGGAGACTGTTATCACGGAGTTCAGATGGTGCCACCTGCTGCCCATTTAGACCAGGGGAAGTCACAACCGAGGGTGAGAAGGTTCCAAGAATGTCAAGGACTGCCAGCCTTGGTGGCAGCAGGTGGTAGGAAGCCCAGGGTACTTATTTCATGGCTAACACATTTGCCCCAGGACAGTGGGGCAGCACAGAAGCATGATTCCCTGTCCAGGTGCACCCAGGCAATATTTCTGGTACCAGCACCACAGCTGCTTCATGCCTCCTGTCTGCTGGATGCCCAGGGCGAGAGTTTGCCAGGCTCAAACATATGCTCCCCCATTGCAAAAATTCCCTAAGCCCTCATGAGATGAGTCTTCAAATGAGGCTCTGTCTGGGTTCTAGAGAAGGGAAGGAAACAAGGTCCTTTGGAAGACAGCAGGGATGGGGTAGGAAGGGAGCAGCCCCAGCCTGCATCTGAACCCGTCATAGCAGAGTCTTCTCCTCTGTTTGCGCTGCTGCCCCGCCTGGTCCTGCCCCCATTCACCTGCTTGCTTTTGCATTAGAAACAGTCAGCTCTGCCTAAGGAGCTGGGGAGCTTTCTAGAAAGCAAGTAGTTACAGCATGCCGCCTGGCTGTGCTGAAGAGATGTGAGTGCGGGCTGAACGCAGCTACTCAGACACTGGGTGAAGCCCAGCAGAGGGCACCAGAGCCCATCCTGATACAGGAGCTGGGCAGAGCCTGGGTGTCTCAAACCCATGTGGAGGCATCTGAGTATGCTCCAGACTTGAGGCTGAGGCCCCCCAGGGGAGAGTGGTTTGGGGCTAAGGCTTGAAAGGAAAGACCCAGGTTCAAGAACCTGCCAGCTATTTTCCCTCAGACCCTAGCTATCAGTCCAAGAGGGCCCTTCTAGCCTCTGCTCTCCCAGGCTTGCCAAGCTGCTGTAGTATCCCGTGTGTCTGAGGCTTGAGGCCTAGATGTGTGGATGGCTCTGCCAAGTGGTTGGGCAGGGGAGGGCCAGAGTGCCTGCCTTATGCATGAGTCTGCTCCTACAGACATTACCAGGCTGTCTCGTGCCATGTGGGCCATGGGCCCCTGTGGCCTCATCTGACTATTCTCCTCTGGGCAGTTCCTCAGAGGACGTCCCCTACAGGCCCTAAAAATATGCAGACCTCTGGCCGGCTGAGCAATGTCACCCCACCCTGCGTCCTCCGGAAGAATCCCCCATCAGCCCGGAATGGCAGCCATGAAGCCGATGCCCAAATCCTTGAACTCAACCAGCAGGTGAGTAGAGTGGGCCAGGGTCTCTAACATAGCCCTGTCCCCAAAGCCAGGTCCTTGGGATGTCAGCCAGGTTAAGACCAGGGGCAGCAAGAGGAGTCAGGCAGGAACCACTGACTTCAACACTCTTTTCCCTCCAAACAGCTATTGGACTTGAAACTGACAGTGGATGGGCTCGAGAAAGAGCGTGACTTCTACTTCAGCAAACTTCGTGATATTGAGCTCATCTGCCAGGAACACGAAAGTGAAAACAGCCCTGTCATCTCGGGCATCATTGGCATTCTCTATGCCACTGAGGTGAGTTCCCTTGGCCCACCAGACTCTCCCGTTCTGGCCTGGCCCGAGAACCAGGTATGTGATAGGACCAGAGGACCTGGAGAACCTCTCACTGAAGAAGACCGCAGTGAAGTCATTAACCCAGGATCACAAGGAGTGGTGGTGGTGTTGTTTTTGTTGTTAAGTGCCATCGAGTCAAGTACAATTCATAGTGACCCTATGAACAAAAGATCCAAACCCTGTTCTATAACTATTATCATTCCTCTAATGTTCATAATGTCCAAAGGCCTGTTATTTAAGAAGTGGATGCCACTCCTGCTTCCAAACCTGTCTCAATTGGGGAGCTCCACCAAACCCTGTTCACCATGGGTGACCATTATGACATTTGACACACCAATGGCACAATGTTCAGTATCATAGCAACCCAGAGCTGCCTCAGTACAACAAACTGACAGACAAGTGCTGTACCACTCACAGCAATGTCGTTCCCAAACAAAGAATGTTAGCTGGGCAAATAGGACCAGGCCCCCGCGCCTCTCAGCTACCTGGAGGATCTGAGCCCCTCAGTCTGGCCTCTAGTTAATACTCCCTCTTCCTTCCCACCCTCCAGGAAGGATTTGCGCCTCCAGAGGACGATGAGATTGAGGAACACCAACAAGAAGACCAGGACGAGTACTGAGGGCAGCTCCAGCCCTGGCTGACTGCACGGCACCCTGTGCCCCCTCCCCATGCTCACCCTACATTATAAACCTTTCCTGTAGCCGGTCGGCCGGGTGCTTTGTGTCAGTGCCACAGCATTGGGAGGCCGGCAGACAGGGCTGGGGGGATGGGGTAGGTGAGCAGGCAGGGGCCCACCCTCCTGTGGCACTGGCCTAGTGGGTGGCCGCTGCCCACTCCCACCCTTATTTATTTCCGTTGTCTCTATGCTGTGTCGCCAACACTTCCCAGGGTGCTGCTGCCACCGCATCCCCACCCCAGCCAGCCACCTGCTCCCCGACAGCCAGCAGCTGTATATTTGACAAAATCATTGGTATATTTTTACTTACTGGATTATCCTTGCACTTTACCTGTTCTTTCCCCAGGGCTGGTAGCCAGGCCGCAGGGCAGTGTGCCTGCCATGGCTTCCCTTGCCCACTGAGGGGGCCAGGGGAGGACTCAACCAATTATTTATATTTTTTTTTCTTTTAACTCCCCAGAGGCTGAAGGGAGGGCTGATGTCAGGGAGGGGGACAGAGGTGAGGGGGTGAGGATGGGGCCATAGGCCCTAGTGGTCAGGCGGATGGGGGCACACACGAGAGAATAGAGATGACCTCCTGGCACTGGGCTTGTGCCCCTCAGCCCCCTGCCCCAAGCACTGAAGCCCAGCACTGCCCCGAGGCCCCAGTCACTCCTTCCTGCAGCTTGGTTCATACCACACAAACTCAGCCCGGACCCCACTGTCCGTCCTCCTCCCATCTGTCACCCTCCCCAGCCCTGCCCACTCAGACCACCCAGCCTGCATATGTGTTCATTTATTTAAATAAATGTGTGGTGAAAGTTCATGCCATGTCTTCCCTCAGTTGAGCCACAGTCTGGATACTTAACCTTCTGGGTGCTCCCTTTGCACCTGAGGTGATGTTCTAGGAGGGCCGCAGCACACTTGTCCCCTCTTTACACCTCATCCTGATCCTCCACCATCTCCCAGTGCTGGTGCTGGAGCTCTGAGGGAAGGCATGGTGGTCCCAAGCCCCAGCCCCTAAGGAGCAGCCAGGCTGGGATCATGGTCGTGATGAAGTACAGCCTGGTAAAGCAGTCGCGGGCAGCAGGCAGGACTGAGAGGAGAGCCTTTGTTTCTGTTTCCTTTTGGCCATTTGGACTGCATGTCACCCCCCACTCCTTATCAAAGCTCTCACGCCTCCCAGCAGCGAACTAGCTGGAGGCAGGGTTCCTGATCAGAGAGGGAGCGCCAGGTGAGCTCTCGAGCAAGCAGCTCTGAGCGCTGACAGCAGTGTCTGAGGTGCTCCTGCTATGGCACAAAGGTGGTCATGAACCCCTCCACATCGTCCACACAGCCTTACGTTCCTGCTGTGTACTCAAGCAGAGGCCATCACAAGCTGTGCTCTGTGTGCCCTAGAGGAATCAAGAACACTGAAGTGCATTTGGTTGCCAGGACCATACAAAATAATGCATTTTACAGTTTAGATTATCAGAACAGAATAGAGTCTTGGCAGTAATCAGGACCAACCCTTTCATTTACCAATGAAGGGACTGAGATCTACTGTAGCATGATATGCTCAAGGCAATAACTCCAGGGTTAGAATTCAGACCTCCTGTCTGATGGTTCGGTTCCCATTCCGTAAGACACAGATGTGACTCCAGAATGACCCTCTAGCTCTTGCCCTTGTCAGTGTCACCTTGTCAGTGTCAACCTTGCCATCCTGAATATGAGCTGGATGCAGTCAGGTCTGTCGTCTCTGTGATTCTGCACCATAGCCCTCCTTCCAGACCACCATTTCTCAAACTTTCTAATTTCTCTAATGATTAGTTTTCTAATGATGGTAGATATACACTTCATTCTATTCTTCCCTAACTTCATCTCTTTTTTGACTCCTCCCTTCACATACAAAGATACTTCTGCTCTAAAACTTGGGGTAAAGAAACATCACCTTATTGGTGGCCAGAAAACCCCACAGAATGTTCCTGAAGTTAAGCCTTGCAGGGAGTGCTGGCTGTCCTCAGCAACCATTCATTGGAAGGAAGCATCCTGTATCCTCAGAGAAAAGAGCAAGGCACCTCCCTAGCCATCCGCCAAGATTCTCTGGTCAGTCCCAGGTGTAAAAGCTGTGTGTAGGGACACACAGTGTCAGCTCCACTCCCAGGAGAATGAGTACTTTATGGGTGGTCATGCTCAGGAGCAGACACTGAACCTCTCCATCTAAAAGTGAAGCTCCTATCGCAGGTTTAGCCCCAGGGGAAAAGCCCTCTGTCAGGTGACAGCCCTGTGCAGGGGGTCTCCGAAGCAGAGACTCCACTGTGAACCTGGGCTCTGACTTGGGCCACTGACAGTGGAGCAGGACCGCTCAGAGACTCCCAGGACAACATGGGAGCAAGGATAGGCAGGCCAGTTAGGTGCTGGACCCACTGGTGGTGGGCGTCTCCCTCACCCCCTGAGCCCTCCTTGGTGCTGCCACATGACCAGGTGGGAGGACAGGCCAGGATTTCGTGGTTTCCCACTCAGTAAGAACCAAGTGGGATGCCTTATAAAATAAGAAAGGCTCTAGAAAAGTAATAATCACTAAAATTTTGCCCATTATACAGACTTTTAATGTAAAAGCATTTTACATGTAGCATAATGCTTTTTTAAAAAAGATAAAAGATATTTCTGGCCTTAATTTTCTCCCTGTTGTTTTAATTTCTACTTCTGATTTTTCATTCCCTTGCCTAGTTTAAAGGATTTGTCCTCCACTTGTCCAGATTGTTGCTACTGTTGTTTTTAGGTGCTGTCAAGTCTACTATGATTAATAGCAACGCTATGAATGGCAGATCTGACCTTTCCCCTGCCTTGCGCCATCCTTGTGATCTCTGAGGTTCTCAAGCTCATTGTTAACAATCACCGTGTCAATGGATCTTGTTGAGGGTCTTATTCCAGGTAGATAGTATTAAAGGAATCATACTGAAGGAACCTGAAACAAAACACTGTCACTCAACTTTTACCCAAACGGTAGACAGACCTTATAAGGTGAAGAATAACACCAGCACACCACTCACCCTGCAGAACAGTTAACCGCACAGCATTTGCTCAAGGATAAAGCTCAGAAGACAGAAAGGTAGAATCGAAGGATTGATGGAAATAAGAATCACAGGGAGAAAGGGGGAAGAATAAGGATATTGTTGATACTATAATCAATGTCATAAAATGTATCTTTAATGAAAAACCACTTTGCTCTGTAAACTTTCACTCAATTTTTTAAAAACATTTATAAGGTGATGGATTCTGCCCTATCCGGTTTTAATATTCAGGCCAAGACCTCTGGATTGTGAAGTAGATACATGGTAAGTAAAATAATGCCTCGTCCCCCTAACACAAGTCCACATCCTACCCCCCAGGACCTGTGAATGTGTTACCATACCTGGAAGGGGGAATTAAAGTTGCCAATCCATGAACTTGAAAATGGGGAGGTTATCCACACGGGCCTATTGCTATCAAGTTACCTCCGACTCAGTGACCCTCTAAGCAGAGTAGAACTTCCCTACAGGGTCCCCAAGGCTGCAATCTTTATGGAAGCTGACTGCCACATCTTTCTCTCTCAGAAAGACTGGTGAATTTGAACTGCAGACCTTTTGGTTAGCAGCAAAGTGCTGAATCACTGCTCCATCAGGGCACATGAAAGTAGAAGAGGTAAGTGGAAGAGGTCGGAATGAAGCTATGTGAAAGGACTCAGTCCACGATTGAAGAAGGAACGTGCCCACAAGCCAAGGAATGCCTGCAACCTCTAGAAGCTGGGAAAGGCAAGGAAATAGATTTTTCTCCAGAGCCTCCAGACAATAGCACAGTTCTACTGACTTCCGTTGCTCTGGGCCATCAAGTCAGAGCCGACCCATAACTGGTCCCCCAGCAGGTTTTCAGAGGCAGTAAATTGCATGGGAGGAGATGTCCGTCTTTTTCCTGCTGAGTAGCTGGTGGATTTGAACCACATATTTTTGTTTTGGCAGCACAGTTCCTTTCCACTAAACCACAAGGGCCCCCTGTTTTTGTGAGGGCTTCATAGTTTTAGTGACTATGCAAAGGCATTTGACAGAGCTCCAGTGGCCTGGTAAGAAGCTGTGCTGCAGTCTCACATGGGCAGGCTCCTCCTATGTGATTTGCTGCCTCCAAAAACCTACTGGAGAGTCAGCTGTGAGTTGGTTCTGAGTGGACAGCACACAACAACAACAACAACAGTTTCATTGACTGTGCAAAGGCATTTGACTATGCCAATCAAAGCAAATTATAGCCAATGTTGAGAAAAATGGAAATCCCAGAACATTCGTTGTGCTTATGTGAAATCTATACCTAGATCAAGAAGCTGTTACCCTAACAGAGCAAGAGTACTCTGCATGGTTTAAAATCTGGAAGGGTGTGCATCAGGGATATATCCTTTCTCCATGCAGAAGGTGAAGGACTGTAATCTTCAATATGTATTGAAGCTTAACATCCAGAAGACAAAAGATTCTCACCACTGGGCCAGTTGGCAGCACCATGATAGATGCAGAAGACATTGAGGTTATTAACAGCTGTGGCTTGCTCACCTCTACAGTCAACTCTTGGCACCATCAGTCAGGAAATCAGATGAATTGCATTGGGAAAGTCTGCTCTAAGGGAACTCTCCAGAGTGCTAGAGAGCAATAATGTCAGTCCAGAGACTAAGGTGTGCCTGATCCATGCCATGGTCTTTGCAATTACTTGCTATGCATCAGAGAGCTGAACTATGGTGTAGGATGATGGAGAATTTATGCCTTTGAGTTGTGTTGCTGGCGAAGAGTATTGAACATGCCATGGACTTCCAGTAGAACAAATAGGTCTGTCTTGGAGAGGATAAAGCCAACTTTCTCCTTAGAGGCAAGGATTTTGAAGCTCCATCTCACATACTTTGGGAATGTGGCCAGGAGGGGCCAGTCCTTGGAGAAGGACATCATGCTTTCAAGGGTGGAGTGACAGCACAGGAGAGGAAGACAACCCTGGATGATATGGATTGATACAGTAACTGGGGCAGTAGGATTAGTTGTGTCAGAGTCAGACCAGACTGGTTCAGGACAGGGCAGGCTTCAGAGCTATTGTACATAGGCTTACTTTGAGTCACAGGCAACTCGATGGCACATAACATTAAATCTGTAAGCTGAAATAATTTGTGAAGCTATACTCTATGAAGAGATGTGGCATCAGGATTGAGTGAAGACTCATTAAAAACCTGATTTATGCAGATGACACAACCTTGCTGAAAGCGAGGAGGACTTGAAAGGCTTGCTGAAGAAGATCAAGGACTATAGCCTTCTGTCTGGATTACATTTCAACATCAAGAAAACAGAGGTCCTCATCACTGGCCAAATAGGAAACATTATGATAAAGATTGAAGTTGCCAATTATTTCATCTTGGTTGAATCAACATTCAGCACCTGTGCTACCAGCAGTCAGGAGCTCAGGAGACATATTGCAGTCAGGACCTACCCAAAATACTGAAGAACAGTGATGTCAGTTTGCAGACTAAGACGTCTTCACCTTAGTAGCAAGGGAGGGAGGAGTGAGAGCTTGGCTGAGCTCTGGGTGTTGAAGGTACAGCCCTTAGATACTAGCCATCAAGTTGGGCCACATGGAATTTGAAGGAAGAACCACGTCGCTTGCTATGCCTCTTGAGAGCTGGCCAGTGAATAAGGATCGCAGAAGAATCTATGCCTTTGAGTTGTAGTGTTGGAGAAGAGTACTGGACAGACCACCTAAAGAAAAAATAGTCTATAGAAAAGTACAGGCAGAATATGTTCCTTAGAGGCAAAGATGACAAAACTTTCTCATACTTTAGACATGTTGCTAGGAGAAGCTATTCC